TCAATTAACTTCATCCTAGAAGTTAATTGTCATTAACTGTCATCCTAGAAGAGTGTTTCTCAAAGCATGTTGTGAGGAACACTGGTCTCTAGAAGCGCCTCCAAACCCTGTTGCAAACCACATCTGGGGTGGAGTATTTGGAATACAGTTCACGGATTAGCCACCCCGCAAGGGCTGTTTTATGACCTTGATACTTTTTTTTCCCCTCCATTATACTTGTAGACCATGTCTCAGGAGGCCTGTGACTGAGTCAGCCACTGCTTGGAAGACCCAGGCCATCGAACACTTTCTTTCTACTGATCTTATTGACTAAATGTAGATTAGCAGGTAGAAGTCACATTTTTATAAATGTTTTTATTTTATTTTATTTTATTTTATTTTATTTTATTTTATTTTATTTTATTTTATTTTATTTTATTTTATTTTATTTTATTTTTTGAGACAGAGTCTCGCTTTCTTGCCAAGGCTAGAGTGAGTGCCGTGGTGTCAGCCTAGCTCACAGCAACCTTAAACTCCTGGGCTCAAGCGATCCTCCTGCCTCAGCCTCCCGAGTAGCTGGGACTACAGGCATGCGCCACCATGCCCGGCTGATTTTTATATTATATATATTAGTTGGCCAATTAATTTCTTTCTATTTTTATGGTAGAGACGGGGTCTCGCTCAGGCTGGTTTTGAACTCCTGACCTCGAGCAATCCGCCCGCCTCGGCCTCCCAGAGTGCTAGGATTACAGGCGTGAGCCACCGCGCCCGGCCTTGTTGTTATTTTAAATTACCCTATCTTTCATGTAGTTATTTAGAAATGAAGTGAAAGCTGTGAATTTTTTAAAAAATAATACTTTATTTATTGTTGAATGAAGAAGATGCAGAATCAGAATATAAAATTAACGTCTTCATTGGCTCATAGATAGGAAAGAAGAAACGGGAACGGGAGGCCTTGAGGTAGGATAGCTCGGCTTCCGAGGGTTAGACTGTAGATGGTCCTTCTTTAGAGAAGACAGAACAGATTTGTTATAATTTTTGACAATGTTAATACTTTATATTTCTAGGAAATAGTGGATTGAATACATGAACTATTTAGGAAGTTTTGCTTAGGGCCTCTAAAAGTAGAATTTAATTCTGATCTTAATCAGAAGTCTGTCCTGGGCCGCTGCAGTGCTATAGAAAGAAGAGAATCCACCCACTGGCTTGGGTTATGAATACTGTTTTACAGACATGTGGTCAAATTGTAGTTTTCAGAAGAAACATATTTTTCTTTGAGGTGGCTGTTCTGAATGTGGCAGACCAGAATAATGGCTCTCCAAAATGTTCAGTCCTAATCCCTGGGACCTGTGACTACTTTACCTTCCGTGCCAAAAAGGATTTTGCAGATTTGATTAAACAAAAGATCTTGAGATGAGATTATCCTAGTGGCCATAATATAATCTCAAGGGTCTTTATAGGAGGAGGCAGGAGGGTCAGAATTAGAGTCAGAGGAGGTGGCTGGAGTGATGCAGGGGCCCTAGCCAAGGAATGCTGGCAGCCCTGGAAGATGGAAGAGGCAGAGAACCTGGAGCTTCCAGAAAAATACAACCCTGCCAGCCCGTTTTAGACTCTGACTTTCAGAACTATAACATAAAAAAAAAACAGTGTGTGTGGTTTTGAGCCACTAAGTTTGTGGTCATTTGTCACAGGAAACCAATACACTGAGGAAGGGTTTCAGTCACTCACTGAGTCAGTATTAAGTGCCTACTGTGTGCCAGCTCACTTGGCCTCCTAGAAGGAGAGAGAGAATGTAATTTTTGAGAGAGCACTGTGTGCTGCCGTGAGAATAGAGTTGTTAAACAGTAGAGAATGACTGGGCAAGGAGGTGCAGAGGGACTGGTTTTGATGGGGGAGCCTTGGTCTAAGAAGGGCTCTCTGAGGAGGAGATGCTTCAGCCGGAACCTGAATGACAGAAAGGAAGCAGCATGCTGAGTTCTAGAAGCCAGAGGCTCCAGGCAGGGGACATAGCAAGCACTGACTTGCAGAGGGACTCATGCTGTGCCAGGAGGCAGACGCTTCTTAGGATGCAGGAGTCGCCCCTCCGTGGCCCTCCCTGCTTAGACTTAGAGACTAGGAGGCGGTGGTGGCTTGGGTGTCCTTATTTCCCAAGGGAAGTCCTCAGTGGGATCTTTCGTATGTTGATCTTGCACGTGGGAGGCATCGTTTTAGTAGAAAGGGCATCCTGTGTGTCATTCTGGACATCCCACACGCAGTGCCTGGTCATCTCCCATCCTCACTCTGAGAATTCTGCGCCAGCTCTCTGAGAGCAGAGGGCCCTTTACTCCCAAATCCATTAACCGCTTGCTGGGAGAGAGCCAAGAACTTTCTACTCCTGCCATTATGTTCTAAATGGGCTTTGTGATCTGGAGCAGGGCGGCCTTCCTACCTAGGGCACCTGGCAGGAGCCAGCAGCAGCAGAAGGGCTGAGGGCCGAGGGACAGCTCTTCTGGGTGCAAAAAAGGCCTCCATTATCACACCCTTGCCCCAGGTCTTTGCAGGCAGAGAAGAGAGTGTTTCTGTTGCTGGCCCGTTACGAATAAGCCGTGAAGGCTGAAGATCACGTGTGCATTCTGTGTTCTCTCATGGCTCTTGCAGTTTGGTAGTTGATGTGAATTTTATAGAGCGTTTATTTATTGCTGGTTTTACCAGCAAAAAAGTGGCAGCCCCAAATGGGAATGTGAGCAAAATGTGTTGAAAGCCTTCACAACCCCTACCCATGCACCCCAAGGACAGGGAGGAACCTGGACCTAAGAAATTGTGGAAATATGGAGTGTCATTTTTGTCTTCCTACATCATTTAAGAGATGTACCTACCCTGTCCAGCTATTAATGTTTGTGAATTACCTATATAGAAAACCAAGGGCATTTTTTTGCCTTGTGAAATGTTTTTTTTTTTTTTTTAATGGTCCTGATTTTTAATTAGGCACTGACTTTTTTAAACCCCAGAATATTGCGCCTCCCAGACTTAGAAGTGTGAATGACCATTGGGGCCTTCTCCCCATCCCCGCCGGAGAGTTCAGGCTCCTGGAACTCTTGAAAAGTGTGTGGAGGGACATGCAAAGTCTGTGTGACGTTGTAATTATATGTGAAATGGGTTTTGTTTATTTAATGAATAGAATGAGGTAGTTACACTTAGTAATACCCATTCACCCAAAGGAAGGGGGGTCGTTAAATCATTGTGTTTTTTGATGAATGGCTTGTACACTGAAAAATAAATTGGACAAACTGGCATAGAGCTCAGTGAACATGAAATCAGCTATTAGAAGAAAGCTTGTGAACAAATTCTGAGGCAGATATGCATCTTTTGATTAATGCCCTATCAATCATCCACACAGCTACCTTAGCTAAGTCCTGCTGTAATCACTCATGGTTGCTTTCGGAAACACTGGCAGAAACCATAGCGCTGCAGAAACGGAATATTATTACTGATTTCTCCCTAACTTACTGTGAACAATGACTGTTTTCACCACGTTTCTGCTTGCCTTTATTAAAGAAATACAATATAGAATGAAAAGAGAGTTCCTCAAAGCCTGGTGAAATTCTCCTAGGGTATTCTTAATGATATTCAGTCTTAAATGGGCAAGCTATTGTAATGGAAGGTTCTCTGTAGGAATAATAGTAATGTAATCCCATTGAAGCTGCCGGTTACAGATTGTAGTCAAATAGGCAAAACGTAGAGTCACATTAATGAACAGAGTGGTATCTTTGGAATTATTACTTAAAGTTGTTGAAATGGTTTGAATTTTGTTATTGTAATTATTTTATTCTCCGTTAATGTGCTTAACAGCCATAGTAATTAACCCACCAGATTGGAAATTTGCATGAGTTCTAACTTTGACATTACAAGAACCCCTGATTCTTTCTGGGTATTACACAGTAGGATGGGGGAAATACATGCATATATATATATATATATATATATATATATATTGATTTCACTGATTATTTTTTTAAAAAGAAATTGCTATGAATGCAATTATTAGTTTTTCATGCATTTTTAAGCCATTGGCAAATTCCTCAAGAGCACTTCATTCTTTCAAAGAGGATTTGATTCTTGAACTATGCTGGCACAAAGAGCAATTTGGCATTGCCTACCAGTCCGGAAATCTTTAGGTAATATCACCCGCTTCCTCCGGACTTACTGTAGCCTGGGAAATAGTGTGGCGTAATAAAGCAGTGACAGGCATTAGCATGCATAATGGGCTGTAATAGACATTTAATGCTGTTTAGCTGGAAGAGGGAGCTGCGCTCTCCCGTTGGAATACTCCTCTATCGAAGCCTATTGATCACCGATTTCAGTGGGGAGAGGTTAATCCATCAGCTTCTGTAACCAGACGGCACTGATGGAAATTCTTTAGGTGGCATTCTGGATGAACCAAGCTTTCCATCTTTACAAACAAATGAGTGATATGACAAGCATGGTGTTCAAAACACATTTAACCAATTGATTTTCTTTCCTCTTGTAATAAGATCTGGAGACATATGAAAGCACGCGGTGTGAGCTAAGATTAAAGGAATTGCTCCATGCACAAGAACACACGGAGCTAAGAGCCAATAAAAGTACTATAAAGCATGTAGTCACCCATTCTCTTTTTTATATAAAGTTTGTTATTGCAATAAATAGTTATTATTGAGCTGATGCCTTTTATTTCCGTTTTGCAGAATCTTGTTTTAGGTCCACGTGTATGTGCACAGGCACATGCGTGTCTTGTCTCTGTGGTCGTCTTGATCCTGGACGTTTTCAAGATGTTTGGCAATAATCCTTTCTACTGTCTCATTTAAACAGACACCCAAAGGAAAGGGTGGGAGGGCATTAAATCATTGTGTTTTTTGATGAATGGCTTGCACACTGAAAAAGTAAATGGACAAACTGGCTAATTTATATGTATGATTTTGATGGTAAAATTATGGCTAGAAAGCTGCAGGTCTCATTAAGTGATGGCCTCTCTCTCTCTCTCTCTTTTATCTCCCCACACGCAGCCCTGCCTTGAGCTTCACCTACCCTTCCGCGCCCGTCTCCCTCCACATGCATCAGCAGATCCTGAGCCGACAGCAAAGCCTGGGCTCAGCCTTTGGACACAGCCCCCCACTCATCCATCCTGCCCCAACTTTTCCAACACAGAGGCCTATTCCAGGGATCCCTACGGTTCTGAACCCCGTCCAGGTCAGCTCCGGCCCTTCCGAGTCCTCACAGGTGAGAGGGACGGGTGGATGAGCCGACCCATGCTGGTGAGCAGAGGAGGGCCATGCCACCGTGCTGGTGCCTTGGTGCTCTCGTGGCTTGCTCACCGGCACCCTGTCTTCTTAGCCCTGGGGACTGTTCTTCAGTCTTGGTGAGCGTGTTGTGTAGATCCTCCTCATTAAACAATAGCTCCTTCCACCAGAGTCGTTTTCTCGGGTGTTTAAAAGCAGGCCTCTTGATACGGCTTCACTCCGCCCTGGTGCCGTCTGCAACCCACACCCGTGTAGATGCAGCTTGTGAATGGATGCATTGTTCTCCTTTGGTCACTGTCTGCTCCCTCTGCTTCAACCGCAGTTGCTGCTCAGCATCCTGTGATACTTTAAGAATAAAACTATGCTCTGCCCTCTGTTCTTCCTGCCACACTGATATTGTTTGGAGGAGACTCTGGATGCTCTAATTAAAGAAGTTCACAAATGGTTCATGTTGATTTCCTACCCAGCTCACAACTTTGTTCTTTTCAGATACACTGTTGGAGCTCATTAGAGCCTAGGGCCCCAGCTCTGTTTAGCTTTTAAAAGCCCTGGGAGTCTATACTCAAGAGTTAAAGAGGAAGAGCTGCCTCATGAATGTATTTTTCAGTTTTGAACACATTATCTGAACCGTACTACCATGCACCATGGGATCGGAGTGTTGTCAGAACCGTTGCTTTGGTGCCCAGTAAGCCTGCTTGTCTCAAGTCACAGGTTTTAATCCTGATACCACTCATTGATCAAAACCTGACTTTTGTCTCTGGCCCTGCAAATGCAACCAGCAGAACAAGCCCACGAGTGAGTCTGCGGTGAGCAGCACCGGTGACCCCATGCACAACAAGCGGTCTAAGATCAAACCTGATGAAGACCTTCCCAGCCCAGGGGCTCGGGGACAGCAGGTAGGACACCCAGACCGTGCAGGGCAGCTCCCTCCTCCCTCCCTAGACCTGGTGTCTTTTCACAGAATCGCCCTGTCCACTGCATTCGTGGCCTTGACTGTACTGAACACGTTTGGTAAAAGGCCAAATCTGGTCATCTGATAGGCTAGCTTCTGTAGCTCAGAAGCAAATACCTCCAATGCAGAAAGCCGCGTGGAGCATACCTTCTTGATAGTTTAGGCAACTTAGGAGTGTAGGCAGCTGTAGTTCATAGTGTAAACAGTTGGATTAATTTGATGTGCCCAGGATTTAGTACTCATCCTTGATCTTGGACCTGAATTCCTGAGCTCCTGGCCCCAAGCCTGAGCTGGGGCAGAGCTGGTATTGTTCCATGCACTGACTATGTCCTTATTTTCTCTTATTTTGCTACTTCCTACTTGCCAGGAGAGCCTGGAGAACCAGAAAGGATCAAAGCACAACTAATCTAACCTAAGGCTAGATCCTGGTCCTCCCAAAATCCTGAAAGGAGGAGTTTAGAAATTTCAATCTGGACTCTACTTCTAGTCATAGAAAGTCTCTGGGCCTCGGTTTAATACTGTGTAGGTTACGCGCATAACACATCTCATGGGGCTCTCGTGCTTGACAAGAGGAACTCAGTGCTGTCATCAGACTGCTTTAGCCTGAACTTCCTTTTCAGCAAGAACTTGGAGGATGAATAAATTGGTGTCTTGGGTTCTGAAATAGATCCTTTCGTCTTGCATTTTGCTAGACAACAACCTTGCTTCAGTACTGATATGCAGTTTTTAGCTCCAGATTGGAACCTGAATCTACACACCTAATTATCTCCCAGAATTCTGGAAATTCTTTGTATTTGCATTGCTGTAAAGCTACTATAGCAGACTAGAGAGGTTTAGGTGCTGTGGGAGGTTTTGGGCCTTGGAGATCAGAGGTTGAATCCAGAGGGCATTATCCCTATAAAATCCACAAAGAGCCTCACAGTCACCAACAGCAGGGAAAATAGAAGTACAAGTAAGCCATTTTCCTAGATTGCAAAATTTAAGAATAAACAAATGGATATACTGAAAAGAATTAAAACAACTAAACAAAATAGAAGGACCGGACTTTGGGGAAAGACCTAATTCAGTTGCTTCTCTTCTGGGTTTTGTCTTGTGTTTGTGTGTTTTGGTGGTTTTTTAGCTGACATTGGAGTTTATTTTCAGGGCAGCAAAGTTTTGCCTCAGCTTTTCCTCCTCATTATGACTTGGGCTGTTGTCTTGAATCATAAGCTAAAATTCTCAGATATATGTGGGAAATCTGAGAAAATGCACAGAAACGATTTCATGTGTTTGACTTCTTTCGTGCCCCAAATCCAGCTGGTAGACCTGAGCTCTATTTTATTTTCATTGAAACATTGCATTAGGAGGAAGAAAAGTCTAAAGCAGGTTTTTACTTTCTCTTCCTCCCTCCCATTGAGTCTGATTCTTTCTCTCTCTCTGCTCCCTTCCCCCTATCCTCTGCCTTTCAGGAACAGCCCGAAGGGACAACCCTAGTCAAGGAGGAAGGGGACAAAGATGAAAGCAAACAGGAGCCGGAAGTCATCTATGAGACCAACTGCCACTGGGAAGGCTGCACCAGGGAGTTCGACACCCAGGAGCAGCTTGTGCATGTGAGTAGAGGGTGGGCAGGGACTTGGCGTTGCGACTCCGTGACCCCTTCTGCGGAGGTCAGCTTCTCTGACCCCGCGCTGAGTCAAGTTTCTTAGCTGGCAGCACTGCGAACTGGAGAGGGCTTTATGACTTCCCGAGAATAAAGAAAAACTCCGAGCCACAGTGCTTGACCTGTTCAGTCAGCTAAAGCTTAGTGTAAAATTCAATAAAGTCTTCAATAGAGAGTGTAATGACTCTGATCCCGTAAGCCAGAAAACACTATTTTGAGTTAGCACTTTGATGGTTATTGAGTAATAGTAAGCTGGACATGAATTATTATTAACCTTTTAACCAAGTTTGATTCCCCTTCCCAGACCCAGTAACAATAGAAAAAATTTTCAGGGTGGGGGGAATTCCTGTTTTCCTCTCCCGATCCCTTGAGGCCTGAGGACTCTTCCGTGTGATTTTACACAGCCATTAGCACTCTGTGTGAAGGCAGCTCGCACAACTCCTTGACTTGAGGCCAGCCCTTGTGGGGTTAGTCTTGTCATGGAAAAAGTTATATGTGGTTTTAAATGTGTTTAATGATGTGTGTTTTTGAAAACTGCAGTGTGGTCAGATCGAGAACCACCCCTTCTCTTACCACACCAGGTTCAGAAGTGTTTTAATGACCCTCCTGTGCATCATTCTAAATAGTGTGGTGCACACACAACCCCCAACCCTCGCACCTCTGTGGGTCACCGGTGTCACCAGTGCTCGCTGTACCTGGCGCCTTCTCCAAGGCCAGTGGAGCTTCCCTGGCAGATGGGAACAGGAAAGGGCATTCACATAGAATCAAGAATCAAAAAGATACAGGTCCTACAAATTCTGGGCAGAAACATAGGGGCCTGTGGAGGCGTTAAGGGTGGTTTGCTAACTTTGGCAGTTTCTTAAGCTTCTAATAGGATGGAAAATCTGACAGAGAAGCGTTTGCTGGGACTGCCTCCTTCTCTTCCACTCCCTAGAACTCTTCCCCTTTCCCTCTCTCTCTCTCTCTTTCATTATCCACTCTATTTTCTTTTACAGTAATTTTGTATTTTTGGATGATCTGTATTTTCTGTTGCATTTAAACCACTAAAATTATAAAGTCACTCTCATATCCCTTGTGTCATAGGCTGCATGAGTTTTTGAAGTGTGTCTTCCGCCACTCAGCCCGTCCTATGTAATACACACCACACGTACACACAGTTATATTGTGGTGTTAAACATACAGTTTGCTAGGCTTTGAGATTGTTATATGCAGAATGTTTTGAGGACTTAACGTGACATCAGCAGAGTCCTCCCCCCACCCTGTTTCTTTTTTTAATCATGTCTCCTTGTAATTTTAGAGGAAGAATTATAGATTTATGAGCACAGCAAAAAACTGGAAAGTCAAATGTTTTTAATTAAGGTATATTTCCAGATTTTTCCATGAACTTAATTTGATTCTTTCTCTTTAATTTGTTGCAAGTGTTATTTTTAAGCCAAGCCTGACTTAATGGCCCTTTATTCTTGCTGATTGTCTTAATGGAAACCACAAAGACATTGTAATACTCAGGAGGGAAAAAAAAAGTTTGGAATTTTTCTTTTAATATGGGGAAATATTCCCAAAGAGTAGCATGTGCTATGAATAGCCTCAGTGATATAATGAGTGAACAACATACACAAAAAGAATTATTTGTGTAAAAGCTGCCATCGTAGAAAAGATGTTGGTAATGCTGCTCACTTTTAAAAATACTCTCTGAGGAATGATACAGTCTCACAATGCCTTTTTGGAGGATAAGTCATCGTCATTTACAAGGAGAGCTGGCTAGCTGGTGCAAGCATTATCAAATGAGGAATGATGTAGGAGCATATTCTGAATCAACATTTTAAAATGAACTGCCTTCCTTATAAGAGGCCAGCTTTGCCATGACATTTTTGGGGGTGTGGTAGTAACTTAACCCCTTTACCTCCTCGATACTTTTAAAAGATGGTGAAATTGCAGGTATTTGAATTTAATCTCAGTGGCCGAAGGTCTCTAATGATATTTTAAAAGAGAGACCTTTTAAAATATACTGATATTTTAAAAGAGAGAGTAAAGGGAAACCTGCTTAAGCCAGCGACTAAATAAGCACCATATTGTCTGCTCTATGGAAACTATCTTTAAAAAATATGAATGCACACATATACAGTAGGATTTTTTTATTCCAAATTAGTTAGAAGAAATTCATGTCAAGATTAGAAGAAAATGCAATGTGTTACCTTTATGATATTAATTTTAGTCTGAGACAAATTCTGTGAGTAAGTAAACTTCATTAAGTGAATTAAAAATTATAATTTACAACAATATAAATAAAGACACTAGTTTATATCACTTATTTTCCACCTTTTTCCTTATTGTCTGAAATGTGGAAATTCCAAATCTGTGTGTTTAAATTGATTTTACATTGCGTGACATACGGGTACTTTTGTACTCATGGGTGTGACTGTTAGCATTTGCGGTGGCCTGGTCTGGAATAGGTGCTTTATATTTTGTCGATTGAAGGAATAGCTACTTTAAGTCCACTTAATTACTTCGGTGGCAGGTGGAATAAATAGCAGTTGCAAAACCACATTTTGGGGGGCAGAGGGAAGCATTAACAGTTTCCATTCCTGTGACTTTTGTTGGCCAGAGGACATTTTGTGAATTAGTTGAATTTTCATGCCACATACAACCAAGAGGCAAGGTGTTAAACCATTCTGATGCTCTGCCTTATTTATAGCCGTGACCCATTCTTTTCCCCCTCTTACAGTTAATAGAAAGATTCATGATTCTTCATGGTTGTCTATCTAGTGTCTGACAGTCCCGACTGCCTGCTAAAGCAAGTCACTATCTATAATTGATATCCTTCCGGGGAATAGGGTGCTGGCTGCAATTGAAGGGCTTTGCTGAAAGCTCTTAAATCCTGACAAGTTCTCCCCTTGTTCTGGTTCAGTCGCTGAGATGCACGGTTGGAATTCCGGAGTTATTTGAACTTGGTGCAGAAGGGAGACATGTGTTTCACATTAGCAAATCACAAAGTTGAAGAGGAGAATTAGGAACTCGGCTGACTTTGCCCGCCAGGTAGTCTCATTTCCAGTGTAATGCACTCCATGTACTCTTGAAAAGATTACCTCGTCCATTACTGTCCGAACAGATGGGCTAAATATTGCCTTTCCTTTCTCTTCTCCTTTATTTCAAGCTCCTCTCCTTCTCCAATTATGTGTTTATTCGAGGTGGCTGCTGGGGTCTTTATCACTGGGATGTTTAATTAATTTCTCTTCCCTGCAAGATAATAATTGGGCGTAGTTACTCTCAAGCTAGTATTAACTTTGCCATAAATTTACTTCTATGACCTGAAGCTAAGAAGACACCTGCGTATTTTGCTTAACCGGTTTTTACTGTACTTTGTCCCTTTTTTGGTGTCAGTTAAAATAGAAGGGAACAAGAAAGCAGGAGGGGTACATAGAATAAAAATGAATTTCAAGTACATTTGATTAAGACTGAATTTATTATTGATTTGTCAGGTTGCAAGTTTTTCCTCTTCCATTGAAATCTGAAAGGCACATATTCTAACATCGCAAAATAAGTTGAAAGTGCACATTTTTCCTTCGATTTTAAATTAACCAAACCTCTTTTCGTTGTGCATTTATTACAAAGGACATGAATGTTACATTTAAATGTGTTTCTGAAAGTTGTAGAATGTCAGTTCTCAAAGTGTGATTTGCTTTTGCTTTTGCTTATGTTAATGGATTTAGCTTGTGTTGTTATGTAAAACAACTCATTCTGGCTTCTCCCATGGAAGAGGGATGCTTTCCATCCTTACCAAGAGCCTTCTCCCTCTTGTTTTAATCTTGTCCTAGAAGTAAGTTCCATCTTTGGCTCTTTGATGGTCGAGGCGTCTGAAATACGCACAGCATGCAGCACAAGTTAGTCTCAGGTCCCCCAAAACCTGCACACTCTCGTTGTGAATGACATTGTATATATTACCACTGTTTGGAGAGGCTTTTTTGAAAAAGGAAAAGGAATAAATGGGAAGAATCTTTCATCTCAGTGTGGAATCATCACTGCTGAGAGGCTAGTTATGCTTGAAAATGTCAATGCTGAGATAGAAAGAATAAAAATAGCATAGTCACCATACCTCGTGTCCACCTGTTTACTGTGCCTCTGGAACTTTTTGCCCTCAGTTTCAACAATCCAACCCTCTATTTCTGTCTAAGAAATAACACATATAGAATATTGCCCCCAAAGGTCTTTAAAAAATCAAATTCTTTTTTAACAGTTGTATTCCCTGGCCCATTCCCCAGCAGAATGACCTGCAGAGTCCTGTGGCAATGATCCTAGGGCACATGGTCTTTTACCTGTGGGGCAGAGCCACAGAGAACTTGAGATGTATTTATATTAGCGTCCCGCTTCGACTGGGTGGCATTTAAGTCTCTGTAATCCTCCATTTGTATCTTTTAAGCATTGTGTCAAAAATTCACCTTTTTGTAGAGTCATTAACCACCTACTTGGATTTTAAATGCTTTCATATGCTGCAAATTTTGATCTCTAAAAGCAGGCTGAAGTTTCCTTTATCAGAAGAATACAGTTATAATCACCTTTGCTGCCATTTGGAAACAAATTCTGTACATCAGCGGCATGAAAATGAAAGGCTTTCTTTTTAATATCGTACAGATTTAGATATAAAGAAAGCACATCTAATTTGTGAAGAATTGATGTATCCGTAGAAACGTGAGGAAGATTTAGGATGTGAAGACATTATTTTCATATTAATACCATGATCCTAAATTTGCATTTTAAATGTTTTCCGTCTAATTTTGATCCCTTTGCTAAAGTTGCATTGTGTATCCTTACCTAAGAGAAAATTGAGTTTAAGATGTGATAGGGGTCTCAGATAGGAGACAGAAATTAGTTTTGTGTGCACATAAAACCTAAAAATGAATGAGTGGAGATTTTGATCTTATTTTCCCTACATAGAGTTGCTAGTTAATTTAGTTA